CGCTCAGATAGCTCTGGTCCCCCGCCACCACCACCTTCACCGGGGGAGGCATGTGGGAGTTACAGTTACAGCTGACAAAGGGAGAGAAAAGGAGACAGTGAGGGACACACAGCGGCTCCGCACGTGGGTCGGGCAGCAGGGGACACGCCCTGCCGGGCCAGCCAACCCAGCACCAGAAACCCATTGCTTACAATTTCCAGCTTGCTGAGCACTGCCGTGGGCACAACCAGCACCCAGACCCTCTGTTTTCCCCGGGGCCTACACCTGCTCCTATAGCTGTGTCCACAATCCCAGTAAGTCCTAACGAGCCCTGGGGGAGCCAGGGCCCTTCCCAGCCCTTCTCTGCAGTCCCAGGGAGGCACCAAGCCGAGCCCAAGCTGTACTCACTATCGCTGGATGCGGGAGACAGTGGTGTTGAAGGCTGCCTGGATGTCCGCCACCGAACAGGTGGATACGACCAACTGCTTGTGCGCCTGGAGCTGCTCGCTCACGTACTGCCAACACAGAGAGCGCAGGTTAAGCCATGCTGCGGCTGGCTGTGCTGGCCAGCACCAGCCCATGCCTGTCCGACTCCCTGGGACCCCCAGGAGAGAACTGAGGCCCCTGTCCCTACTCGTGCCAAGCAGGGAGGCTGAAACTGTCAGGTGATCCCTGGCTGCGTGCCTGAGCATCACCTCTCCTCCCAGTTCTGCTCCAGGGGTGGGCTGCCCCAGCCGCCCGCTCCCACCTTTCAGCACAGTCATCATTACCCGGCAGTGGCAAAGGCAAAACTGTCCCAAGAACCAGGCTGTGCTCCTTCAGATCAAGAGTCTGGTCCAGGGACCCTCTGATTTAAATCCTGACATCCCACAGCAGAGCCCAGGTCTAGGCTCCATCCCCTCTGCTTATTCAGTTCTCTTGCTCTCTCCCACTGTGGCACTCCAAGATCCTCCTGTGCCTCTTCACGTGTCTGCATGCAGCTGCACAGTGGTAAAACAGGAAGTTGTGCTAGACCAGGGGGCTCAGAAGATGCCATGACAGGATCTGGGAATGGGCATTTCTCCTTTTTCTCCACCAGCACAAGAGCTGGAGCAGGCACACGGCAAGGATGCATGACTTGGATCAAGACCACCGATTCTCACTGAGAAGCTCGCTCTTCTGCCAAAACCCTGCCTTGATGTTCCAGCACTGTTTCTGGATGTCAGATGCAGCTGCAAGATCCCAAAGGGGTCTCACCAGTGCTTTATCTAACTGCTGTTGCATGTTGGCACACCCGTACCCAGCCCTGCTCACCTTCAGCAGCCCACTCCTCCATGCTTGGGGGAGGCAGGTGCTCACCAGGGGCTGGGCCAGTCCTCCCATGGACACAACAGTGACCAGCATGAGGCAGGAAGGCCTCACACGCCTCCCTGCCTGGACACCCCAGCTCTGCCGATGCAGTCAATGCTCCCTGGGAGTGGCAGGCTCCACTCTCTCATCTCTGAGTGGGAAACTGCACCTCTGCTGCTTCCCAGTGCCTGGTGCCAGCAGGGGGGTCTGGCACTTCTGCCAGGGCATCCAACAAAGCTCTGACCAGTGTGGTCACTGGGAGCCAGGACCACACAGTGAGGGTACAAGGCACAGTCTGTTAGCTAGCCTTTCTGGGACTCCTCTGGGCATCGTGCTCTGAGGATCCAGCAAAGCTGGCGCGTGGCACACGATGGAGGAGACGCACCCAACTCTTATGCATGTAGCTCAGCACCGTGCAAATGCGTTGTTTCCCCAAAGGAAGGGCCATGCTGGGGGAGAGGAGGGCACAGCTGGTGCCAGTTTCCCTAGGACACCCTGCCATGGCCGGGAGAATCCCCTGGGACCCTGCTGCCAGCTCCCATCCACATCCAGCTGCCGTCACAACTACTCACCTGCCCCTGCCACTCGGCAACGTTCACCAGCACAATGCTCTCGGGGAGATGCTCGTCTGAGACCAGGATCTGGTTCAGCTGATCATAAACAGACTTTCGGGGCACCTATGGCAGCATCACCACAAAAGTTACCCACAGC